TTTTATATTAAATTATACTTTGAATTGTGACTTATGCTACTTATGCTTTAAGTTAATTCTTTTTTATTATTTTCTATGATCTATAATATTTTTTATATATTTTATTATATCAGTCATGACCCACCATGGCATTTGTCATAGCTTTATAACAAATTTTTGGATTTTCACATGACTCATCATCTGTCATTGATAACATTACTTGCTACTATGAAACATGTGTCCTTGTACACTAGGTTCGGCTCTAAACATAGTTCATAAAGTAAGAATGCCAGAAGTTCTAAGGAAGAATAAATCTCTTTTTAAGAAAAGTCAATATCAATATAATGTTGATGTTCAAGTCCCAAAAAGTAACTTTGTTGATAAAACTCTTGAGTCTAATTCTGTCTTAGAGGATAAACTTAATAGAGACAAAGAAGTTATGATGATTATGTCTAAATTCTAAAAGAAGGTATACAATAAATATAAAGATGGAGTCTATGCTTGATATTCTACATGTTAGTGAAAGACAAAATTCAGTTATCTAAAAAGGAATATACTCTCTTCTTGATAAAACTCTTAACTTAAATGAGGTAGTTCTTGTTATAGATGACTCTGACACTATTGATGATATGATAACTTTGAATAAAACTCAATTTTCTTATTATAAAGTTCATTTACATTCCTTTTTTCTAGAATGTTGATAATGAATGCCATGTTTTGGAATTGTAGGGATGTTAGGAAAAAATTATTTTTGTAGATTAATTAATAATTTGCTAAAAATATATAATCTTTATTTTCTTTCTCTTTTAGAATCTAGAGTTAGTAAAAAAAAAAGGACCAATCTAATCTTGAAGAGGATTAATTTAGATAGAGTTATTAAAGTAAATACTTGTGATTTTTTTTAGAGTATTAATAATAATAATAAGCATTTCAATTCATTTCACTTGTAAATTTGCAATTCATTTAAAAGTTGGATATAAACTTCTTTCAACCATATATGCTAGTCCTACAAATTATCCTAGGTCTGTTTTATGAGATGAGTTGATAGGTATTATTGATACATTGAACATTCTTGATTGCGTAATTGGAGATTGTAATTCTATTTTGTTTGAAAATGAAAAAAATTATGGGGAGAGGATATGTGAATTATAGTAATATTGCTAGATTTGTATCAAGTCTTGATACTTCTAGCTTAATAGATTTAGATTATAAGGGTGTCCATTGTACTTGGCAATAAGGTACTTTAAAAGAAAAGATAAATGTGGTTACTAATTTGCTGTGAAGGGACAATTTTGTTTTTAGTTCTCTTGTTAATATTGTGATTCCCAAGTTTGACTATTCTTTTATTTGGTTAAAAATTAGACTTCTAATTTAGTCTAGTAATTATTGTTTTTTTTCAAATTTCTGACTCCTTAGCTATCTCATTCTGATTTTCTTAATCAAATTAAAATTTCTTGATTTAAAATTTGTTCTTGGATTAATAAATTGATAGATTTAGGGTTAACATAATTAATTATAATTAACCTATATTTAGTAATATTTTTTACTCAAAAGCAGCGTATTTTTATTAGAATTAATGAAATTTTTCGTAAAGTGTCCGGTGGAAAGAATAATTTCTTTCCTAAGCTTACGAATACTCTTTAATTAAAATACGAACAACTTCTTAATAAAAAAAATTATTTGTTTCATGAATATAAATCTAATTGAGTTAGACTCTAGGATAGAAATACTAGTTACATTCGTAAGGTTGCTATATTTAGGAGACAACATAATGTTTGAAGCTCTTAAAAAAATAATGTCAACTGCAAATGTAACTATAACATTTTAAACAAATAGTTATTATTTTTTTTAAAAAAAAATTGCATAGAATCTCAACTTAATTTTATTAATAAATTCTTTCTCCCTCATAGATATTGATAAAGATAGAATGTATAGTCCAATAACAATTGAAGAAATTAAGACTACTTTTATTTAGTATTAAAAAATTTTAATTCCTTAAAATTGATGGTTTGCATGCTATGTTTTTTAAATTCCTAACATTATAAACAGGTTTGTCTTTGTTTTTGGCTAATGTTAGCAAATAATAATACTAATAATAAAACAGAGAAAAATATACTTGAGTTTTATTATTTTTATATTTAAAAAGGGTAAATTTTATTCTTTTAATAAAGAGAAAATGCTTGAAATTAAAATTTTAATTCTTGATATAAATTATTCATAAATATTTACTATATTGGAAAGAAAAAAAAAAGGCAATCAATCTAAGAATCTCAACCAGTTTACATTTTACAATACAAAAACTAATTCCATCAAACAATACTTTGGTCATAACATGTAAACAACACGATGTATATGATCATTCATTCAATAATAGTTCTAAAAAAAAGTATTGCGACGATAATAAATTAAATATAAAAACACATAAGATTAATTGTTCGAGATTCATCTAAAAAAAAATCGTTCAAATAGGTCATGCAAGTATAATGTAGACTTCAAGTTCATTTTGGATTCCAACATGCCAAAATCGAATCTTATCTTCTTCTTTTAGATTCAATGCTTTGCAGAATTTATTCCTCACGAGCATATTAAGCTGGAATGGGCTGAAATGATAAAATTGAAAAAATATTAGATTTACATATCTTAATCATCATTTTGACATTATATAAGATATAATTTGCTGAATAGAGTATCGGTTATATGTTCAGAACAAAACATATATACTAATGGGAAAGAAAAACGAAGGGCATAGTTCATGTCTAAAAAGAGAGGATTAAATAGAGCAAGATGATGCAATATATTGTAGATATCTTAAAATATTATGAGTTATGTATTAAGTTGTTGCCTGAATCCAATAGATATTAATACCATGCATAAATGATGACAAGAATAAGACGAAGGGACATAAAATATAAAAGCACTACTTACATAAATATAAAAACATTGCTTCAATTGCAAGATTAAGACATTATATGTATAAATTATAAATTATACATATGAGCGGGGATACATAAATATGATCTATCACACAGTTAGAATATATATGAGCAGGAAACTCATGAAAATGCATGATAAATGAGTCATTTACGCATAAAATGGAAGGAAAGGTTATTGCAATGTTTCATACCTAATTAGAGATCAGCATGGATTCTATAAACACTCTCCTTTGTATATAATATTCATGAAGGCATGTTTTTGAACCATGTTTCCAACACACATCAAGCAAATTATAAAAGAAATCTAAATGTGTTATGATATTAAGTTGTACTCTTTCATCCACCATATTTTCTCTTTTGCATAGCCAAATGTTATCACATCATTGTACTTTCTAGTAAAGTTAAATATCCTGAAACCAACCATTGGCAAGTTTCGTTGCCACTACCATACCAATTAAAATTATTCTCCTACTCAACTTTGTCTTTCTGTGTAATCTATTTTTATGTCTTGTTTTATTTCTAACAATTTTTATTTTCCATTTTTAGAGAATTTAGATGACGTCCAACAAATCCAATTGAAGATTAACTTACTTTTGAATTTTTTTTTATCTATCTATATATATATATATATATATATATTAAAAAAAACATTCATTTCAAAATAGAGATTTTTTTTATCTTACTCCATTGACTGCTTTAAATTTATCAATTGTTTGCTTTATCAATTTAATCGGTAAATATTATAAAAATTTATTTTTCAAATTTAATAATTATAGGTTGAAAGCTTTTGGTTACATGGAAACTCAAATAGATTGATACGTGACTGCACGGTTATCTAATGAAAAATGGACAAATTTGGATAAAGTTAATTTTTTTTAGTTAACGATTGTCTCTCCTCTAAAAGAAATTTGAATAGCTAGAAAAGTATTTTAGAGACTTGGAGATAGAAATGAAAATAAGTCACGTTATTGTTTGACTAGAGATACATTTAATCTAACTTGATTTGTTTAAGTAATAGATTAATTTAGATTTTTTAAAAGGATTGATTAATTATATATATTAAACTTGAACTTAAATTTTTTTTTATTAGACCTAATAAAATAATATGTTTAAGATCTATAAAATTTATAATAATATATTAAATAATTTTATATAAAATTATAATATAATATTATATTAAATAAATTAAATTTTAAAATGAATAAAATTTTAAATTAGAAATTTTAATTATTTTTATTGGGATGTAGAGTTTTTCTATTATATATCCTCTAAGAGAGAGCATTTGTATTATTATTTCTTGATTTGTCTTCTACACACAAGGCTTATATGCATTTGTATTTGTTGTATGTTTAATGATTTACTTATTTAAATAAAATTTGTTTTAAAATTAATAAAAAATGTACAATTTTATTACAAATATTTAAGATATTTAATTTTTTAATAATTTATTTAAATATAAGTTTTATAATTTTTATAAAGACACACTTATTTATATAATTTAATATTTTATTAATAAAAAAATTTAATAATTTATTAAAGATCTTAATATAAAATAGATAATTAAAAAACTAATTTACCAAATCAGATAGATAATAAGTTAAATTAAAAATTCAAAATTATTAAATAGATTATTTATATAAAATATAACATGTTTTTATTTTTACTTGGATGCTTGTAAAAAATAGTATTACTTGAATAATTGATAACGAAAATAAAATAAAATTTTAGATAGATAATTTTATTTCTAGTTTGATACTGTTCAAAATTATTCATGAAGATTAGAAAAATTTTTTTACTGTAACTTCTTATGTGGCAAAGAATTATTAAAATTGAAATTTCCTTAAAGATATTCCTCTCGGTAACATTTGTAATAAAGTGATTATCTTTTTTTTTCTTATTGTAAAATTTTTTTTACGAGGATAAAATGGCATCTGAATTTTAATCCTTATTATTGCTGCTTTTCAGGGTAAAGACAGGTGAAAATGGAAATTGGGGGTCTCACTGAAATTATTGAATTTGTATAACCAATTTCAGTTAAATAAAAAACTAAGCGAGTTTAATTACAGGCAATTACATTTGGGTTGATACAAACAAAGCTAAGAATCAGAACCCTAGTGCTGGTGGCTGCAACACAGGTTTGGACCTAAACTCGAGTTCTTTTCTATCATCGGGTGTCATTGTCATTTTTGTTGTTAGCTCTGTTGTTTCAAGTTGAATCGTTATTTGTCCTTCTCTGTTTCGTTTGTTTTAGTCGTCGTCATAAACGTTGCTTTGTTCCATTACTTTTGCTTCGACGTTTGAGCTCTGTGTTTCGTTCTGTATTCTGTTGTGTGTCCAGTTTTGAGTTTTCATACATTTTTCTTTTCTTCATTGTGTTTGCTCATGGTTTTTAATTGGTTCGATTTGCTTTCCTCCATTTTGTTTGTGCTCTTTATATTTTTTCTCGGACGTAATGCTATATGCATTGCCTGTGTTTGTTGATGCTTATTTGAAATTTTGCCTGCGAAGTTTCATGCTAATTGATTTTGTCAGTTTCATTTATCAAAATCATATTTTTTAAGCATTTATGTTTTAATAATTTGTGAAAACTGATAAAGTTAAGATATGTAATTAGTTCGTATACAGAACACACTTTTAATTTGATCTTTATAGTCTCTTATAATCTATTCCTTGTCGTTAGTATTATTATTTGTTAGAACTGGTGAAATTTTGCGTGTCAAATTTTTTACTTTTAAGGATTTGTTTTTAAATTTCTTTCTGTTGGAGTTTTTGACTCAGCTTTTGTGATTTTAGAGTGAAGTGCTATCCTGAAATGGGTTGGAAAGCAGCTGAGAAACTCATTAGGCGTTGGAAAATTCTCAGAGGGGATAATGTAAGCTGAGCCAAATCCATCACATATATTTTGTTTTTCCTTTCATACTTTCCCTTTTTTTTAATAATAATAATTATTATGGACATATATATTTGTTCATTAATAACAGGTTATGATAATAAGGGGCAAAGATAAGGGCGAGAGTGGAACTATTAAGCGTGTCATTCGCACACAGAATCGTGTCCTTGTTGAGGGTAAAAATCTGGTGAGCAATGAACATAGCATTTATCACCAAAATTTGGTTCTTCTGTTTGAATTCCAATATTCTATAGCTTTGAGCTAGCATCTGCGTTTTTCGTACCATCAACAACATGTGTTACATTAGAAACTTAATTGTCATGCTGAGCATGTGACTGTGTAAATCTGCCTGGTAGATTTCTCACTATAATGCACTTTGACTTCCTCTTGATAGGTGAAGAAGCATATCAAGCAAGGGCAAGGCCACGAAGGGGGCATATTTACTGTTGAAGCCCCAATTCATGTCTCCAATGTGCAAGTTCTTGACCCAGTAACAGGGTATGCAAATGTGTTCAGAAAGTTGAACTGGTGACTGTATCTACAGAGACTGGGAATAATATATGTCAAAGTAACCAACTCTTGCTTGTACAGGAAGCCTTGTAAGGTTGGTATTAAATATCTCGAAGATGGTACTAAAGTCAGAGTATCGAGAGGAATAGGAGCATCAGAGTCCATAATCCCTCGTCCTGAAATCTTAAAGATAAGAACTACACCCAGACCTACAGTCCGTAAGTATCTAAAATACTTATGCTTTTTTCTTGTCTGAGTTGCTATTGATAAACATGGCAACAGCCAAGAAAGAATCAGTAGAAAGTGAGGAACTGAAAAAGAACTTGGTTTGAAATGAGAAAGGTGTGTACAACAAGCTAATAATGTGGCTTATGTAGACTAGGACCATTTTGGGTAAACTTCTAAAGAATTCCTTATAGGAGAAAAAAATCAATGTAAAAAATAACTTATGCTTTTTTATTTTTTGAGAAGCTCTCTCAATTAACCTTTCTAAAATGTAAGGAGATAAATTATTTTAATTTATGAGAGAAGTTTTATTCATTTTTTATATTGATTTTTTTCTCCTATAAGGACTTTTCTAGAAGTTTACCAAACTAGGGCTAGATTTAGTGGTTGCTACCTAATTTCATGTGCATATCTAATTAACAAGATGACTCATCAAACTAAGCAAACCACGGTGATATTTGATTTTTATCATTTAATTCCAATGATGTACCTCTGCAATTCTTTCCTACATGTCAGTTTGCATACATGGTTGTCCATATTATAAGCTTATTATAATTGGCTGCACAACAACATAAGGTAGCCTTTGGAAAAGGGTGTTAATTGGGAGGAGGGGGATTAAATGTTGAAGAATGTTATTCATCAAATATTTAAGATGTATGGATGTGTATTTTGGTTAGATGTTTTTCCCCCCTTCATATTGATTTAAGCATGATGGACATGCATTCCAACACAAATAAAAAGGAACATTTGTATGTTATAACACTAATTTATCGATCAGAGTAATTTGGATTGGTAAATTTTAGTTTTTTTTTTGTAATATTTACTCTTTAGTCAGTAGCTAGGTTCAAAGCAGTTGCAATTGGTGTGAACTCTTTCTCTTGTTCCAAACGCAACCTCTATGACTATTTTTTCAACCTAGTGTTGGAAGAAGCTAATTACTCCTGTTGTTGTAAATGCACAAAACTTGCACGGATATATTGAATTCAGTGGGAAACCTATGGTTTGTTAATTCTAAAAAACTCACTGAATTTCTTATATTGTTATTCACTTTTGGCAGTTGGTCCCAAAGATACTCCAATGGATCAAGTGTTAGAGAAGACTTATGATGCTAAAGCAGGAAGGGGCGTGCCTGAGCTTTAAGGAGATTAGGTATCTTATTTCAAATTTGTAATTGCTATTAATGGTCATGATGAACAAGATATGATGGTATGAGTTTGTCATTTGCATTGTTTATCATGATTCTATTAAATTGCCTGTAGGTTTTCTTGTTTAATGTGATCATATCTGGGAGTTATGAATCACTGGTAACTTTTTTTTTTTTTTTTTTGCCTAATTTAGACCTAAACAATAGCTATTAAAAAATAAATAGCATTTTAGTTGTTCTGTTGATGTTAGCTCCCGTTAATGATGGTCATGTGATTCATTTCACTCTGTAAACATATAAATTGTTGAAAAAACTGTTTGATTGTTACGGTTCTGGTGATTTAGTTAATTGGGTTTGTGCATTTGTGTTTGATTTGAGCTAGATTCCGTCCTGCTCCCCCATTCCCCCCAAAAGGCCAATATTGTAATGTCACATTCTTATGGTGGAATTCTTTCAGCCAGTTTCATCAAACCTTAAATATATAAAGTCACGTTGCATGAAAGTGGTCAAATACTCAAATTTTCTTTATCTTGATGTTATGGCAAGCCTGCAAGGATAGCTAACTCAAAAGACTAACTTGTGGGTAACTTGTTCAGTTTGGTATTTGATGGACTTAGAATAGGTAATTGGAGCATGCTCCCTGATCAGTCAAGGTGCATGGAATTTTTGGCCTGCTGCTGCAAGTACTCTTGCTTTTTTAACAGTTTTACTATATTTACTATTATTTTCTCCAAAATACTCTTTATTACCTTAACGTAGGAAAAACTTCATTATGGAAAGACAACAGCATTGAACTCCCTATACCAAAAAGTTCAAAAGAAGAGTACTGAAGAGTTGGAGTGGTGGTAGTTGAGACTGTTTATGAGTGAGCACTGGGTTGAGGTTAGCAGTGGCTACAAGTGATGGTTTTCCTAATCTATTGAAATGCTGAAGGATTTTTCATGGGCAGGATTGACAGCAGTCTATTTTAATATGTAGCGTTGTCAAGCAAAGTCAGAATTCAAATCAAAGGATTTGTTTCTTTGGATTAGTACATTTTGTTGAAGGGGTCCTCTTAAGTTAGGGACATCAATTAACTAACCTTGTTTCTGCATGGATGAATATGAAAGAGTAGGCCTGTAAATGTCTGTTATTCTCTCTTTTGAATCAGATTCTAGCCCTTTGAGCTCCCTTCAAGAAATGATTCAAATCTTTGAGGATTAGGAACATTTAGGTAACTTTTCCCCAGTTAGCAGTGTAGGATTGGGAATACCTAGCTTATAACGAGGTGGCCAGAATTGCTAACTTCAAGAATGGCAAGCTTAATACTCGAGTACCTAATAAAATATGATCCCTTTGCCCAGTTATAAACAATCTCTAATTTTTTTTTCTTGTCATCCATGTTATTTAAAACTTTGAAGAACACTAATCGCTATATTCAGTAGCTTTCTAATGGACAGTAAAACGTCAAGTGATTGGAGGAACTATTATCATGATACCCAAAATGATTGGACATGTCTTAGCATCATTTTCGTGAGATAAGATTTCCTTAAATTGGGTATCATGATATTTTTGTTATTTTAAAATAATTCAGCGGCAAAATATACCTTTAATTTATAATGGTTTCACTATAATTCTCATTGTTACAAATTATTGGCCACTATTCATCCGTTTCGAAATTTCCTTCTACATTTTGTTACTAATACTAACAATACCTCTCTGACTGTCTTGGATTATCAGATTTGTACATTACCACCACTATACTCTTTCCCAATCTCGGTAAAATTAATCATCCCAGTCAATTCAGTTATAACTAGAACAACTTTTTTAAATAAAAAATGTATTCTTTTTCCCTTACCACCTTTGTAATTTTACCCTTTTCTTCCTTACCCATGCAGCAATACAGGTCAGTGCTATTGAAATCCATGCACCACCAGATATAGGCTTTCGATGTAGCATTGGCTATTAGAATACCGAGTGTGGTTAAACAAATGTATGTATGCAAATCTCTTAGGCCAACAGTGGCAGTTACACTTGATTTGGAGAAAGAAAATCTTGGTTGGCGACGAAATGTACCCATGCTTTCGAAAATAATCAAACTCCTTTGTGCATCGAATTTAAAGGCCTGATTGGTTTCACATTAGAACCTCCGTTTTGTCTAAATCGAAATTTTCTTGCTTTGTAAAAACTCTTTTAACCTTGCTTCATAAATGGGAATTTGTCTCATTAATTCCGTTTCATGCGAAAGGCAAACAAGCACTAAATTACTGCTATCGAAATCAAATTATTAATTTTTTTTTTATTGAATTGGGATGAGTGAAACCTAGTTACAAGCATGGCAAAGGTCAATATCACAACACCGGTATTTTTTATTTTATTTTTTATCAGCCAACCACTGGAATATTGAGTTGGCTACATTTTACCATTGTTGAATGCGGGAGAGGAATGAAATTCATTTGCGGCAATGTGTTTATAATTAATTATTGTTATAATTAATTGTAGAATCAATTTCCACGTTTGAATAAATTAAGTAAAAGTTTACTCAAAGGTGATTTCTTTGTGTTTGGATTGTCTAAAAAATTATGTTTATAGGGTATGGATTTTTCACACAAGTCATTGCACACAAGAGTCTCACCTTTGCTCTCCTCTGCATCAAGCGTCAATCCAAAATCAGTCACTTAGTAACCTAAACCTCAACAAAGAAAAGGGTGATAACAAATTGGTAAACCCCAACAAAAAATTGAAAAGGTAATGAAGATAACATGGTTCATAAAATAATGAAGCAACAAAGACCACATGGATGGCACACTTGACTGACGGTGAGGCTGAGAGATGAAGCAGGTAGTGGCAGTGGCAAACCATCAACTTGTGTTGGAGACTTGGGACTCTCACTAAGCCACATAAGGTTGCCAGACTAATGCAGACCACAATAATTTGGGTTTAGTCCAATCTCAACACTTTGCGGCCAGGGACCTAGCTCACTTCCCAGTATTTTTTTTAAATATCTATTTTAATATTTATTAAAGATTAAAAGATTGTAAAATTATTTTTTATTTTTCACTCTTGAATTCCTTTTATAAATTATTCAAAATTATAAAAAAATTAAGTTACATCATTCATAATTAATGATCTACAATGCTATAAAAACAATAATTATATAGAGCATAACATGCACAATAATAATAATTATACTAATAATTTTTAAAATTACCAAATCAACGACAATATGCATGTGGTGCAAGAAAAGTATTCACACACACGTTAACAATTCACATTGATGTCTTGAAAAAGTTCTAAAATTAGAATTTTGCAACAAAAAATGCACTAAAATAAGATAACATATTAAAAAGTAAAGAAAATTTCTATTAGATCGACAAACAACATATATATAAGTTATCAACATTAACTTATAATTATATTTACTTAAAAATGATAATAAAATAATGAGTTGCGAATAGATTTTGAATTTGTTAGTTCATATGAATTTAAGCTTAAATAATAGAATTAAGAAAGATCAATAAAGCATTTAATTTTAATGGCCAAGTTCTCGTTAATACAAGATCAAGAAAAATCAAAATTATCTCATGTTACTCTTAACATGAGATTGTTATGTCATTAAAATTAAATAACAGTAAAAATTATAATACCATTTTCTCTCCAACTTCAAAATTTACTTTCATCATCTCTCTTCAACTTTTTTGTTTAAATAAGTTTTTCTTCAAAACTAATTATTGATTTAAGATTATTTTAAAATATATTTTCTATTTTTTGACGTGTGACACGAGTATTGTGTCACTCAAGAATGGTAATTTAATTTTTATTTTTTAAAAGAGTATAGTCTCGTACAGAAACAATACTATTCTGAAAACATGTCACACGATGCACAGTATCATGCTCTAGCCATAAATTTTAAATTTTTTACTAAAAATATTTTTTAAAAGGTTAAGTAATAAAAAATATATAGTATTGTTTGCATGATTATTTCAATTTTATAATATTTTATGAAGATCATAACAAATATTGTGTATATGATGTTTTTATCATCATTTAATAAATAATAAATTTATGAGTTTTTTAAAAATACATTTTCATATGTAAAATAAAATCGTTTCTAATTATTAAAAAATAATTTAATAAAATATATAAACAAACATGTACTATAAATTGATACACATAATTATATATTATATAAAAATTGATAAATAAAATATTAATTTAGTTTTTAATTTGATTTATTGATTTATTTAAGTTATTAATTTTTATTATAATCTTAAATATATTCATAATTTTTTAATTTCTAATTATTATTTTAAAATTTTTAAGTAAAATAAATCATAACTTACTAAAAACATATTATTATTAATCATAATAAAAAATACACATATACTATATTAAAATATCATATATAATATAAAATTATGATAAAAATAAATTTTATTATAACTATTAAGTGTTGATTTTATTAAAACTAATTTTATGTTTCAAATAAAATAAAAAAATTATATTTTTATCTTAACTATTTAATTTAAATTTATCACTTTGTTTATATATTTTTATAATATATGATAATTTTATTTAACATCTTATTTAAAATTAAAATAAACTCATGCAACACACGCATATTATATAATATATAACTAGTTTATACTATAAAGTGCTCACCTGTCTCGATATGGTTTCGCACTGGCGCCTTATCTGTTGCACGCCTTGCCGCTTCTAATGTCTGGTTGGTGGGTCCATTCATATATTTTATTCTCATTTATTTGTCTCTCAGATAAAAGCTTTATGGTGTTTGTTTTTCAAATGTTCACTGGATACGACATTTTTGTTGCTAATTCAATTATCAGTTAGCACTACTATTATTTATCATCAAAACTCACTCTAATTCCTGTTTCACGTGTCAACTAAGAGTGTTTTTCATTATTTTTAAGGCTTAAGAGGCTATTCTGCTTTGAATGTGGCACAACTTAGAACTGGAGTAGGTTTGTTTCTGCTATTGAAAGTTGAAACTTCAAATGATTGAAAACAATAAAATGCATGGAACTCAAGGAAGGTTCAATGATAATTTCATTTTGTTTTAATGGTAACTGTACATATAGAGGTTAAATTGAAGAATATTTTTGGTAAAGGAACATAAAATATATTTTAGTCTTTGTAAGAACGGAATCAAAGTTAAAAAGTGTTAGCTTTCTATTCTATGCATGCTGCAATTGCACTAAAATAAAGGACAGGATAGAAGTGGAGTCTTGAATTTTATGATTTCCTATCAATGAAATTCACTAAAGGGTCTACATAGTTGATGTTGCTAAGCTATATCACATTGTGCTTGTGCATTTGCCTTATGAATCAGAGTACCAGGCACAATATATGATGTTAAGAGCCTTGGGTGAGACAGTATGGTAATGTTTGGATTTTAAAGATTTGAAGAGAAAAGTAGAAAAGATGGTTGGTGAAAGTGGAAAGCCAAGGGCAGTGATTGTTGGTGGTAGCATAGCTGGGATATCAGGGGCTCATGCTCTTACCTTAGCTGGTTGGGATGTGCTTGTGCTTGAGAAAACGGATACACCTCCAACTGGAAGTTCCACTGGTGCAGGCCTCGGACTTGACCCTTTGTCCCAACTAATCATTGAGTCATGGCTTCCACAGCCACAATTCCTCCACAACATTACTGTACCTTTAGCTATAGATCAGGTTCCTTTTCTTTGTTTCTGTTTCCTTTTTCTTCCTTATTGTGCTGTCTCTAGTGAAGAACATTATGGTGTTGTTTGATTTGTGTAACTGAAACCACCCGTGGAAATAGAATTGACCCAATTTGGATAAAGTTTTCAATAAGTACTTATACGAGTGAAAAATTAATGTACTAAAAGAAATTAAATTCCTTCTATAAGTTAAAATTAACTTATGATTCTCTATTTTTGAAAAGGTTTCTTATTTAACTTCTCTAAAATTTAAGAATATAAGTTGTTTTTAACTTAAGAAATAAGTTTTATTTATTTTTTATATTGATATTTTTTTATAAAGATTTTTCTACAAGTTTACTAAAACTTGTATGCTCCTGCTAGTGAGGATGAATTATCTAATTTATTTGTTAAGCCTAAAATGTCACCCTGTTTAGTGTCTATGAAATTTATTTAATTCTTAGCCCCTCTTTATATATGTGAATTATGCAGTGATAGAATACCAACTGAGATTCGTTTATGTTATGATTAAACACCGGTTATATAGAAACTACAGCAATAATGCAATCCCAGATAATGAAACTCTAAAGAGAATGTCCAAAACTACCAAATACACACGTAATAACTACCTTCTAGACACTGCTGGCATCATGTATTAGGAATACATAAATGTCCTGGATAATTGCTACGTGGAATTTTTCAACATTTTATATGTGGCTTTCTTGGGCTTGGATCTGACAGTGGATCATGCAGTATCTATGTAACTACTGTCTTTCAGAGCTAAATATTATGAACTCAAATAGTAGCTCTGAATTCTAATGATAATTGACGGATGCAATGCACTGCTATACTGCAATGAGCATATGACATGTAAAAGAGAAAGTGATTAATCTAAATTAACTGTAATTATGTAACTGTTCTCTCTCTCTGTTGAATAGATGGTTGATTATAAATTAACCCTTTTGATCTTTATGTTACAACCCTTTGATCAGCTGTTGTCTTTCTCAAAGAAATAAACATATAATAAAATGAAAGAAAATTAAAACAATAGCTTATTCAATTTTTTGTTTCCCGAGTAGAACCAGGCAACTGATAGTGAGAAGAAGGTTAGTTGGACATTGGTAAGAAATGAGAGTTTCAACTTCAGAGCCGCGCACTGGGCTGATCTTCATGGCCTTCTGTACAATGCACTTCCACCAAGGATATTTTTATGGGGTCACCTTTTTCTCTCTTTCCAAGTTGCAGATGATAAGGATTCTGTCAAAGTTAAGGCTAAAGTACTAGAAACTGGGAAGGTTATAGAGATAGTAGGGGACTTGCTTGTTGCAGCAGATGGATGTCTCTCTTCCATCCGCCAGAAGTATCTCCCTGATTTTAAACTGAGGTTTGTAGGTTAGAATGGTGCTGACCTAATCTTCCTCTTTCCTTCTGCTTGAAAATGGAACAAATTATTGGTACTTTTTAAATTGCCTGTAGCTTGGTACTCCTGTAGTATCTACTTCATTGGCGGTTATCTTTCCTAATTTAGTAATTTTTCTCATTTTTAAATTTGAAAAATTAAAGTTAAGGAAAAGTAGCCATGGATGCTAAGTGTCTTCATTTGAATGCAAGTAGTACATAATACAGGAGGACTAAAAAGTTTTTTATGAAGAAGGTCCACTAAGGCTCTAATGTCTTTTGTAGATATTCAGGCTATTGTGCCTGGAGAGGGGTCTTTGATTTTTCAGAAACTGGGACTTTAGAAACCATCATGGCCATACAAAAGGCATACCCTGATTTAGGAAAATGCCTGTACTCTGTCTTGGGCTCATGTACACATAGTGGGTTCTATGAGCTTCTAAACAAAAAGCTCAATTGGATTTGGTATGTGAATCAGCCAGAGCCTGAAGTTGAGGTAAACGTGTTCTTCTCACACTTTACTATTATGAGATACCCTCATTGATAATCTCCCTCTGCATTTGCCTGAACTTTTTTCTTCCCTTTATCATGCCAAAACATATTCCCAACATTGTTAAATTTGGTGTCAGGATAATAGGAAAGCTTGGTGTCTATTTTAACCTCAAATCTACAAGTTATTAATGCTTCCTTCTGTTGCCACACCAGCTAAGTTCTGATTGTACCTTGAAATTCGGGGGCAAAACTTTTCAGGGAACCTCGGTGACCATGAAAGTAAGTAGTGACATGATCCAAAAGATGCACCAAGAAGCAGAAAAAGTTTGGATTCCAGAGCTGGTAAAGGTCATAAAAGAAACAAAGGACCCATTCTTAAATGTCATATATGATAGTGATCCCATAGGGAAGATCTTTTGGGATAACGTGGTGTTGGTGGGAGATGCAGCTCACCCCACAACTCCTCACTGCATTAGAAGCACAAACATGTCAATATTAGATGCAGCAGTATTGGGAAAATGCTTGGAGAAGTGGGGAGCAGAAAAACTAGAATCAGCTTTGCAAGAATATCAGCTCATAAGGCAACCAGTAACTTCTAAGCAAGTTCTTCATGCAAGGCTTGTGGGCCGCATAAAACAAGGTCTGGTTCTCTCTGATCAAGAACCTTTTAACCCAAAATCAGCCAAGCCTGAGGATTGTGAGAAGCTTCTACAGAGGAACACTCCTTTTTATAATGATGTGCCTTTGCTACTTGCTTCAAGTCCACCCTCCATTTGATTGCTTGTAGTGGTAAATTTTAGTACCGCATCGAAAATTGATTTTATACTCTCTATCTATGCAACTGTTTTACAGTGATAAAGTCCCATGACTGATGTGCTGGCTTTATGCTTCAAACTTTTTCGGCTCCTACAAATTATTTTATCACCAAATTCTTTTTTGTTGACATCCCATCCCAAAACTTATTTACAAAGAACAAAGTGTATTTAATTTTCAGAAAAAAGTGGAAACTTTCTTGTTTAAAGTAGAATGAATAGCAAAGTACTCACATGAAAAATATAATATTTTCTTAAATATACATCAAAGGTATAATGATCAGTATCATCAAAATTATGGAATTGAGGTTATGTACGAGGTAATCTTGTCGCACACAATTTTATTCTGGCACCATCGATTAAACAGCTTCGCTAGTAACACATTTCTGCTACTATAGTTTGCTGGATTTGATCAACCTTTTCTGGGCCATTCTTTGATTGGTGTGAATGACTTATTTTTTAATGGAAGTTAGTTTGGGCATCTTGCTTGGTCAGTGTATGTCATAATTGCTTGTTTGAGTTTTAAACTGACCTTGCTGAATGGTGTTGCTGGATTACAATTTTAGGGTTTAACTTCTTCATGTGGGGTAAATGCTGCAGTACGAGTTATGCAATTAGTTTTTGAAACAATGTGTTAAAACATATATGATCAATTGTTGAGACTCATAGCTCTTAGGTGTGCATACATAATATACATTGAATATTTTATTCTACTTAATGATGAGAGGTATACATTTGAATAGACTAAACTGAATTGGGTGAATTGCCATTAATTGTTTTAACTGAGTTTATTGTGATTCTTGAATACTGATTGTCTAAACACTACAGATCTGTGGGTTCTTCTGAAAATGCTGAACATAACTGTTTGTTTGTGAACTTCGTTGAGAATCAATTGTATGATGTATCAATGGGACATTGCAGTCAAGTTAAGCAGGTTGTGTTTGTTTGTTTTGATTTACAAATGTTTTAACTTGCTTAGATATGATTAATTGCAATGCTAATTGAAAATTCTTTTATTTTGCAGATGATGCCTAAAAAGAAACCGAGAACTAGAACATTCATTTCCAAGGGTAAAAGGACTCAAGGTTCCATTTTTAGGGGTTCTAGAGCTCAGCAATGTGTCACTGTTAGGAATTTTGACTGTGAGTGGTTCTTCTCACACTTCGATAATGATTTGATGAAAAAGGTTTGTTGTCGAGAAAGAAGTTTCTAATTAGAAAATGATTAAAATATCAGGAGATTGAGGATGAGATAGCACATATGGGTTAGGGAAAGTTGGTTGATACTCCCCTTGATGGATTTAAAATCTTAACCCGAGATTTCTATGTCAATGCTTTTATTCTAGATAATAATCCACCTATCATTCACTGTAAGACTTTAATGAGAGGGTAGGAGATTTTCTATACCTCGAGAGAATCAATGAAGTTTATGGTTTGGTAAATGAAGGCCACAATGGTGACAACAACTCTATGATCTTTTAGCCATTAGGTGGGAATATGGATGAAGTTCTTCAACTTTGTATACCAGGAGCTAAATGAGAACCAAAGAAAGGTTTCACTAAGCCTGTGATGATTTCAAAAGCAACCTTAAACTGATTCCAAAGTTTTGATGTACTTTTTTACAAGATAAACTTCTAGTTTCTAACCGATCAGAACACACCAAGCCTAGCGCTTAATTGTCATATTGCTTGCTTATTGTCCAAACACCATGCTAGAATATTCACAGTTATTGCCTTTCTCATCAAAATGACAGTAGTTGAGTAGCTAATTATGGAGATTGTTCAGCCAATGACACCTATTACACCTAAAACCATCGCACAAGAAGCAATAGTCTCATGTGTAAAGAATATTTCACTTTTCTGATTTCTTTGGTTATTCAGTACAACTTCATTTACAATAATTTATTGCAAATTAAATCTAATTATTAATTTATTCAACCTAAACTAGGAATTCTAAATGTACAATTAATAGGCTGATTCTGTTTCTAATTAATACAACCTATAATAGGAAATAGATATAATAATAAATTCCTTGATTAACATCTTCAAATTAATGAGATGATATGAGGAAGGCTAATAACATGATTCTTAAAGGACTAACAAATAGAATTAAAATCCACCTCAATAGCAGAAGTTCTCACTACCAGTCCCAATCCAACAAACTAACTCTTGCCAACCTCTACATGCTATCTCATCCTTGATCTCTCAGTATGCACCATTTTTCAATTAGAAACCTCTTTCTTGGTGAAAATTCCTTTACTCTTAAAGGTAGATGCTTCAATTCTCACCTTCATTTTAGGTGTCATCGGCAAATAAAAAAAACAAATAAATTTTTTATTTCTATAAAAATTCTACATTTGAAATTGGTCCTTTAAAAAGTTTTGTTAAATTTTTTTAACAAATTAAGTGAATAAAAAGTTAGCCATTGTTATTAACCTCCATCATAGTTAAAAAAGATAAATATGTAGGCACAAAAATAATATATAACCTAAGATTTAACATTTTAAAATTTTTTCAACACTAAAATGTTAATTTAGTCTATTAAAAGTTATATTTAACCTCATTTTAATTTTTTAAAATATTATTTGATATGTCATAAATAATTAATATATAAATTTTAATGTTAAGTATATGTTTAAGAAAAAGATATTTAATTTAATCTTTTTCTAAATGGACTATAATTTCTACTCATTTATATACAATATCAGTTCCATATTTATATTGTAATTAATCCATACTTACATATTAAAGGAAAATTCTAACCAGGTTAAAAAATAGAAAATAAATTTTTATTAAAAATGTAAAATATTCTTATTTTTAATACATTTCGATGTAATTTCTAATAAAAAATGAATATTAAATGAGACTTCATTCTTGATTTTCATGTAATCATGAAAACAAAAGAACGTGCAGCAATAACAACAACATTACAAGTACAAAGCTTAAACTGAAATATGGAGAAAGAAAATGGATGGAAATAATTGGAATGTGTATTAGTAGGGTTTCAATTCAATTACTGAGAATCATCAAATCCCAAACTCGGACCCGACTTTAACCAGCCATTGATACTTAAACCAAAATTAACCTATATCCAACCCGACCCACCCAAATAACATCTTTTGACTTTGTTTTTACTAATTTATATATAAATGAATAATATGTTACACTTTTATTATGTTTTTATAAATTATTGTATGAGATTTTGATGTAAGAGACTTAATTTGATTAATTAAAAATAATAAATGCGAATATTTGAAATTAGAGGAGCCAAAATTATACTTAAGTTGAAATATGGAGGCTAAAAATATAATTAAACAAAAAAAAACTAAAATTTATTAATAAAAGTAATCTTTGATTACAAGCTAAAGGATACCTTTAATATACGTCAGAAAATGTCAATTAGGATTAACTCACTTTTTCATGTACAGAGATAAACTACCGAAAAGATAATTTCACTTTTATTATAGACGAATTTTTTATTGTTTAATTATTTTTGGTCTTAAGAAGAATTCTTTATTAGATTGGACTAAAACAATGGAGCATGGTAATGGGCTTGCCTTAATCAGGTTCAACCCAATAGGTAGCTGTCCTAGTCTCCAACAGGATCCTTGAAAGAGTTGTTAATTCCTAGTCACAACTTCACGGCAGTGATTCTGTCTTGGGGAGTGTTTGAGATTGAGAAACATGAACCATATATAATATACATGTCCATATGTGTGTGATTATTTGTTGTCTAAAGAGAAAGCAGAAAAGATGGTGGGTGAAGGAGGAAAACCAAAGGCAGTGATTGTTGGAGGTAGCATAGCTGGAATATCATGTGCACATGCTCTTACCTTAGCTACTTGGGATGTTCTTGTGCTTGAGAAAACCTATTCACCTCCAACTGGAAGTCCCACTGGTGCAGGGCTTGGACTCAACTCTTTGTCTCAACAAATCATTCAATCTTGGCTTCCACAGCCACAACTCCTACACAACAACACTTTACCACTAACTATTGATCAGGTGCCACACTTTTTACTTTCTATCACCTCGCCTTTATTTCTTTCTTATCCAGTTATTCTTAATTTCTGTCCTTTTACTACCCCCCCCCCCCTTCTAACAAGATGTTCTAGTAAGGGTGAAATGGTGAATTCTCTTTTATTCATTTCTTATGCCAAAATGTCACTTTTGTTTGGTGCCCCTGATGTTTTGTTTTACTTGTGAGTGTTTTATCTTGAATTTCTTCAATATATGTAGCATCTATTTAACTATGGTCTCACAGTGCCAATTGTCATGAATGCACTGAATTCAATTCTGCACTACACTTATGACATCATGTAAGAAACAAAATGACTAAAAATTGATCATAAATTAATTTCAATTATGTGTTTCTCTGAATGAGTGCTGATTGCAGTTAATAATTTCAATCTTGATGTATAGTTGAAGTAGGAATCCTATGAGAAGCTGTAGTCTTTCTCACACACAAAAAAAATCTTATTTTGTTGTTGTTATTATTTCCTGAGCAGAATCATGCAACTGATAGTGAGAAGAAGGTTAGCAGGACATTGACAAGAGATGAGAGTTTCAACTTCAGAGCAGCACATTGGGCTGATCTTCATGGCCTTCTGTACAATGCACTGCCACCAAACATATTTTTATGGGGTCACCTTTTTCTCTCTTTCCAAGTTGCAGATGACAAGCGTTCTGTCAAAGTTAAGGCTAAAGTACTAGGAACTGGCAAGGTTATAGAGATAGTAGGGGATTTGCTTGTTGCAGCAGATGGCTGTCTCTCTTCGATCCGGCAGAAATATCTCCCTGACTTTAAACTGAGGTTTATGTTTCAAAATGATCTGAATTAGCTTTTCTCTATCCATCTATCTGAAGAAGGTCTTCTAAGGCTCTAGCATTATCTTTTGCAGATATTCAGGCTATTGTGCTTGGAGAGGAGTTCTTGATTTTTCAAAAATTGAGAATTCAGAAACAATCATGGGTATCAGAAAGGCATACCATGATCTAGGAAAATGCTTGTACTTTGACTTGGCATCTGGCGCACACACAGTGTTCTATGAGCTGCTAAACAAAAAGCTCAATTGGATTTGGTATGTGAATCAGCCAGAGCCTGAAGTCAAGGTAACTTTGTTCCTCTCATCCTACGCTTATATTATGCGATACCTTGATCGAAAATAATCCTGAAATGATTTTTTCTGTCATTTTTTTCGTCACAACATATTCCAAATAAGGTCTATAAATTATATTCTTTGTCAGGATAATGGGAAAGCTTTCTAGCTTATTCTCTATTTTGACCTCAAATCTAGAGTGCATTCATGCTTCCTTTGTTACCACATTAGCTAGTGCAGATTGTATTTTGATATTTGGGGGATAAACTTCTCACTTTTCAGGGAACATCAGTGACAACGAAAGTAAATAGTGACATGATTCAGAAGATGCAGCAAGAGGCAGAAAAAGTTTGGATTCCAGAGTTGGTAAAGGTCATAAAAGAAACAAAGGACCCTTTCTTAAACTTCATATATGATAGTGAACCCATAGGGAAGATCTTTTGGGACAATGTGGTGTTGGTAGGAGATGCAGCTCACCCCACAACTCCTCACTGCCTTAGAAGCACAAACATGTCAATATTAGATGCAGCAGTATTGGGAAAATGCTTGGAGAAGTGGGGAGCAGAAAAACTAGAATCAGCTTTGGAAGATTATCAGCTCATAAGGCAACCAGTAACTTCTAAGCAAGTTCTTCATGCAAGATTTGTTGGCCGCATAAAACAAGGTCTGGTTCTCCCTGATCAAGAACCTTTTAACCCCAAATCAGCCAAGCCTGAGGATTGTGAGAAGCTTCTACAGAGGAATACTCCTTTTTTCAATGATGTGCCTTTGTCACTTGCTTCAATACCATCCTCCATTTCACCATCTGAATGCCTATAGCAGTAAGTTTTATTTATCACTGCATTGAAAATGCATAGAACTAATAACTAATAAGGCGGTTCCTATAAGTGATATAATGCCTCTGGCCTAAAACTTCATTTTGGCTATTAATGCTTTTATCTCCAAATTCATTTTATTTAGGATCTCATCACAAAATTTCTATATGAACAAAATGTTTTTTGATTTTCGAAATGAAAGTGGAAAAATGACCAATTGTGGAGCAATATATACGAACACACATAACGACGTGTGTTAGTTTTTTAGTTCCTTTAACATACGGCCGTATGTTCAATCTTGGGATTCAGGTACAAAAGGAAAAAGCTACTAAGAGGGATCTTCCCTTATACGTCGGTGTAAAGAATACTAAGGGATCCAAACACACGCACACTGTGCACACTTGCGCGCATACATAAACCTACTAAATATGCATATATTTCTTCAAAATAAGAAGTTGATCATATAATCTGATCACTCAAATTTATATCAAGTAAACATTTTAATATATAATAACTCATTTTCTTAAACAACCAACATGACTTTAGCAACTCTCCTCACTTTTTTGGACATCTCATCTCAAACAATATTTGCGTTATCTTATGCTTTTTAAATATCTTGTTTTGTTAACTATTTCTTAAAATTTATTTGTTTATCACTTTAAACTAGTCATCACTGCTTGATTCTTGGATCTTAAAACTTTAAAACAAACATCAAAAAACAAGATTTTATGTTGTATAGCAAGATTCTCTTCTAAAATTATTTTATAATTGTTGCAATTTTTTTTTATTTAGACTCCTTATAAAAAAGAAATTGATTTGCAGCTTTGAGATTCCACTTTTACAAGTGATAATATGTTTTTACCCCTTCTTCCCTTCTTAAAACAAGTGTTCTTAATCTTGAAATCATATGGTATTGAGAATTAAAAAATAAATTGTCTATCCTCATTTAATTTTAAAAAACTAAAATTATCGTAAGTCCTTGTAAATTGTATTGCCTCAACTAATATGACTCTTTAAGATGGAATATCTTGAATCTAATTCTCTAGATCTTTTCAAAACTTTTCTTTTAACAAAGGTTTGAGCCAATTTATAAAACATAAGTATTAATGATATCAGTAGTATCTTTTGCAATCAATATCTTAAAATTATGATCATTTCTCTTATCCTTTTAATTTCTATTATATTTTTCTTTTAAGTGTTATTAATAATGGTGTTTTCTTTATTCTTTTTTATTAAATGTCTTAATTTATTCTCTTGTTAATTTTGTTTCTTGAAAATATATATATTAATCTTTCTTCGAATCATACTGTCTAGTATAACTTTACTCACAATACCTTTAAACTTTTACGTATTTAAATTCAAATAATAGTCAATAATTTTTTTTTCTTTTAAAAGGCATCAACAAATCATTTTAAATAAAAATTTGCTAGTGCACTCTTCACACATTGTTTTAAAAGATAATTTAGTTAAGTAATAAACAAAATACTTGTTAGAGAGTAAACTAATGATTAAGAGTGTGCTAAAGTGTGACAATACTATTCAGCCAATAATTCTCGTAAACAATATTTTCAAATGAACACTCTTAATCACCATCTTTTTGAAAATAATTCCTCCTCTTAAGTTGCCTCGCAATCGCATATAAGCCACTTTGAGAGACTTAAGGAAAAAAACCAATATTGTTTGGTACATAATGCTATGCTGGCAAAGGGAGAAAATAATTAAAAAGAAAAAATAAATCTCGTTTAATGAGAAAATAATTAATGCCAATTTTTCTGATCGCTATCCTATCAAATTAATTCTGGCAACTTGAACTCCCTATGGACGCAATTTTTATCAAGTTTTATATTTTTTTCCGCTACACAACATTGAGAATCTCAGACTCATCCCTGCTAATCACAAATGCATTGTAATATCAGACATGAATATTGTTCTCTGTAACTATACTCAAAAGAAATGAATTTTGTGCTAAACAAACAAAATGAACTTCACTAGCACATGTCTAAACCCAAATAGAAACCCCGCACTGCAACAAAACTGCTCGATGACTTTATTCACAAGCCCGAATAAATTCAATTTTCTTATTGATTAATGAAAGTTTTAGTCCTCCAAAAATATTGAAATTCAACCGATAGACGGATATATCTAATGATACACAAGACCTTCTAACGACTCATTGATAAATAATACAGCCTAAAGTTGTAATGGAGGCAAGCTATTACGCTGGATTTTACATTTTTACCAACCGAAAACAGAGAAGACTTCAATCTCTGGCAGTACAGAAAATATATTGCGTGCTACCATAACTTCATTCCCACACAGCATCCTGGTAGAAGGGAAACTAAACTTTTGATGGCCACGTTGCTTGAGCAGACATGATGATTCCAACAATAACTCCAAATAGCCCAAGCGCGCTTCCAAAGATCTCAATCACAAGAATTTTCACGAAGAGAGAAGAATTCTGAGCATCAGACAACGCACAACTGCTTCCAATTATTCCTACACACAACCTATCAAAGGAAAAATAAACGTGTAACAGCAGGATGGAATTCATCAGGAGCATTTTACGTAAAGATATGAGATGTAGGTAAAAAAGAATACACACCCACAAACAAGATTTGCAAAGCCCACGATAATTCCAGAAGCAAAGATTGCATATCCAGCTCTAAGAGATTCAGGTTCATAGATACTTGAGGATGGAACACTTTCTAATTTTGTTTGTAGAATAATTGCCACAATAACACCATATATAGCAACAGCCTCACAGAAGATTACACTGAAATACCACAAACATGAACCATAACGTCAAGTGTCACAATTGTTTATATTTGAAACTTAGATGTGCCAGGATACTTTATGTAGATAACATACATAAAAGGAACATTAAGATTCACAGCACTCGAATAGAACAATATTTAAGTTCAGGCATTTAGATTGACAATTCTGAAATTCACATTAACAGAGTTTAACAACTTTAATTTACCATTCAACTTTAATGATTTGAATAACTATTATTATTTAAGCGTGTGCTTGAATTAGCTAATATTGCACTGAGCTTGAAAAAGAGCATTTTTTCTGAACAAAAAAAAAAAAAAAAAAAAAAAAAACATGCACTAAAAGCCAAAAGAAAACATTTTGAGCTCAACCATAATTGCATTCTCATGCTGACTAAGCTTAGAGGGTCATGTTGCTTGAGCTGACAAAATAATCCCATGATTCCCAACAATAAATCAACGTAGCCCAAGCAAGCAACCAAAGATCTTAACCACAAAAATCTCACAGCACTAAAAATAGTGTTATCTTAAATTCAACCATTCTAAACGTCAATTCTGTATAACAGGTTCAACAGCCTTAATTTACCACTAAACAATAGTAATTGAATGAAGTTGAACTTTTATTGTAAGATCAATTGATCATTGTATTAGCAGACAAATTAGGGGTAAAAAATAGAGCAATTCACACAGTCACTATCTTTCTCCCTGTAACATACATAGGAGTTGATAAACTTTAATATTTTACATGCCATAAGTATCACTTAGCTTTTACTTGTTTCAAACATCAAAGATATTTCTTCACAAAGCTATCACATAGACTGTATGCTTGTGTTGAATAAAATAGTTCTGTACCTTCTGGTGTTTGGTGGGAAAAATATTTCCCCCTGAATTCCATTTATCATTGAGTGCAGAAAGGCATAGTTTAGACCTTAGAGAACACTTTCCTAAGTTAATATAACAGGCAAAGGGAAATATTCTTTTAGTTAATTGATACAACAATTAGGTAGAGCTAGATACAACAACAATAAAGCTTTATTCCACTAAGTGAGGTCAACTACATGGATCATACAACATTATTGGGTTCAGTCAATAACCAAATTAGTTAAAGTGATGTAATTGGAATTATCAAAAACCTTTGAACAATTTAAACAAGAAAAGAAAATCTTGCGAAAATGAATCATTTTCTTTAAAAATGTTACAGGTGAAAATATTTACTCAAATATCTGATCTGAAAATGTTTTTCAGGAAGCCATTTTCTAGAGAAAACATTTTGTCTAATAAGAAGGGTTTGTTGGTATTATTTCATTTGAAATGGAATTTGACCTGCAATAAAAAAATTTGCTGTGGAAAACCTGTATTGAAAATCAGTGCAAACTCTTTCATTTATAAAACAGAGCCAAAGATAATTTTCCTTAAAAACAAATGGACCAAAGTTAACTCTTAAGAGAGCAAACCAAGTTTGATATTCTACAGGTAATGTAAACCTTCTCAAACATTTCAATGATATAAGCAGGCCTAGTTAGATACAGCAGCAGTAGCCTGGGCCTTCCCTTAGGATGTAGTCTGTCAATGTCATTGGTACACTGTACACCCACATGCAGGGTTGAACCACACTAAATCCAAGAGCCAGTGTGGTAGTGTGAACAGAGGTTGACACAGACTACAACAGAAATACAATTCCAACTATAATGCCTCTCAATGGTAAGCCTTTTATTTTAAATCAACAATGAAAATACAGAAGCTTTTACTAAAATTGAGCAGTCAGACTTCATTCAACATGGATGTAAAAAAGTGTACAACATCCATCTGAAATAATTACCCACACCCAGTATAATATGCACATGTGAATTCTAACTTTGAGCAAAGAAAAAAAACTACAAATAGATTTCAAATCATGTCCCTTATGTTAATCGTAATTTGTAAATCACCAGCATTATTTGACACAAAAAGAGACGAGAGGGTTTCAAATGGATGAGGAAACTAGGTGAAAGAAACTTTCTACCTTCTTCCCTTTTTCTTTCTATTTCTTTTTTCAGATATTGCACAGTACACACATATCAATAAACCAGCAGACTTCATGCTTAAAAGTTGACAACTATATTCATCAGACGATATGATCATTTATTATCGACAGGAGAAAAAAGATATCATCATTGATCATTAGCAATAAACTAATGCCCAATACATAATAAAATCACTTCCACAGGTATCATATTTTTTATATTAATAAATAAAAAAACCACAAAAGTGAACACTAAGCCAACAACAAAGTAAGTCGTGGACAAAGGCATTTTTAGATTGATTACTCAACATTAAAGATCTTATCATAACCTTTCCCATTTCCTTTCAGCCGAAAAGAAAACAGTAACACAACCCATCAGAAGAATTAAAAGAACACAACACCGAGGATAAGCTGAAATATGTGAACCATCATAACGCAATTGCAATCTCAAAAAAAAATCTGTGATCCTAATTATTCATCTCCAAATTCCAATCCTCAACCAAAGCAAAACTATGCAACACAAGTTCTTTCCTATCTAAATCCGAATACATCTAACAAAGAACTAACAAAAACAACGTTAAATCAACATAGACAAGATACTTTCACCATCGTTAAACTTCTCAGCAACTTCATCAACTATCACAAAGAACACTAAAATATTTTATTTTTTACGAAAACACTGAGAAACACCAAAAATAAATATCTACAGCTAAATTTAAACCGAAAAATCCAACATAAAGCGAGGAAAAGCGTAATAGCAATTTTACCTAATAAGATTTTTAGAAGTGATTCGAGGTGCCTTGATTGCAGCACCGATCAAGCTACTACCGGTGATGTAAATTCCCCTACACGCGTCACCGAAGCGAATTGGAGCATGAGAATAACGAAAATGGAAATGTAAGACGGTAAACGGAAACGGAATGCATACCAGGCAGCGCCGAGTACGGAGACGCCGATTGAGATGGCGATTCCGATGGCGGAGAAGGTGTAAGGAGAGATCGCGACGAGTGCCCTACCCCAAGAACTTGAATGCGCCATCGTCGTTGAAGCCATTGTTTGTCTTCGTGTTGTGAACGAAATGAATGATTGGGATCGGATCTCAGGGTTCTTCTGTACTGAGAGAGAGAACGGAACGTCGTGCCGTTTAACTGCTATCCAAATATTGAATCAGAAAAACATGAACGAGGCTCTCACTCACCTCTTGGGGAAGGGAACAAATCATGCGATTAAAACGGCGGGTCGTTTAGTGTAGTCACGCCAAAGGCCCATAGAGGCCCAATTAACATTAAACGAATTTTGCCAAGGTGAGCGAAAGAAATCTGTTTGTCGTTTTTTGGGGAGTAAAAATATATTGCTAAGTTATTGACAAAAAAATAAAATAAAATGAATATGCTAAGTCTGTTTTTCCATTAAATGATTTTGGAAGTTAAATAATTGAAGTGTCCAGCTTAATATTTTCTTAGGTTGTTTGGAGAGGATTTTTTATTTTTTAAAAAAAGAGGAGAAAATTTATATTTTAAATAAACATATTTAAAATTAATATTTTTAAAAAAATAAAAATTATAAATATATGTATTAACATAAACTTAATATATTTTTCATCATAATTAATACATAATTATTTTAATTTAAAATAAAATATTAAAAATATATTTGGAAGAATTTTTTTAAAAGAAGAGAAAAGAACATATTTTTTAATTTTAAATTAAAATATTTATTATGAATAAATAATCAATTTATATATTTTATTTTAAATATATTTATTTAAAATATAAATTTTATTTTCTCCTCACTTCTAAAATTTTGATTCTCGAACAACCCTTTAATATTCTTTTTCATTAAATAAGAATATTAATTTTTATTTAATTTAATACTATCTTTACAAAATAAAAGACAACTAATATGATAATTTTATAAAAAACTAAGTTTTAAATATTTATTATATCTAACAGTTTTTTAGACACTAAATTTTATCAACTTAACTATTAAATTATGTAACATTTTTTTAATATTTATACATATTGAATTTTAGATAAATTAAATACTCATAAATGTATAGTTTTAATGTAGATATTTATTTAAATTTATAAAACATTATTAAAATAAATTTATTCGACAAAAATATTAAATAATTTTAAATTATATATAATTGAAAAAATATTTATTTCATGTGAAATTTTGATTTAATAATTAAATTTATAAAATTTAATATATTAAAATAAGTGAATTCCAACCCTAAGGTCAGCCCTCAACTCACGGTTCCATGCCATTTTTACATGTCCTTATTTTCGTGCTTGGTTTAAGATATTTCATTCCTTTTTTAAAATAATAATTATATATTTTTTTAAAGTAATCACACTCTAAAAGTGTGTTTGTATTATATTTATTTATTTTTGGATAAATGATTATGATTTTAAAAAAAATAGTTAAAAATGAAAATAATTTGATGAAACAGTGTTTATTATATTGAAAGAAATTTATGTGGTGTATATTGGATGACTTTAATGTTGTGAGACAGGTGAAAAAGAGGAAGGATTGTCAGACAGATTATGGTATTTCTGAAATGGATGGTTTCAATTCTTTCATTCAGGAAATGGAACTTGTGGGTAAGAAATTTACATGGATAAAGGGGATGCTTCTATGATGAGTAGGCTAAATAGAGTCTTTGTTTCTGGTTCCTGGCTTGATTATTAGGGAGATGATTTTATTTAGGTTTTGAGCAAAGATGTGTCTGATCATTATCTCATTATTCTAAAGCACAAAGTGATTAAATGGAGTTTGAAGTTATTTTGATTTAACAATTATTGATTGACTCATAAGGGAGTTGTAAAGGTGGTGAAAGAAGCATGGAAAAGAGATATTACGCTTCCATGGATTGCCCAGAGAACTAGCTAGAGGTTGAGGAATGTTAAGATTGTATTGAAAAATAGAATATTGAGGTGTTTGAAAATATTGATAAGGTGATTTCTGATTTGATAACTGAATTAAGCTTGATTGATGATAAAAATTCTGTGATAGAACTTTCCAATGTAGAGAAAGAGCGTCAACAAATATTGGTGGGTGATATTTTGAAGACTAGAGAAAATAGGGAGAGTCTCATAGCCCAAAAAGCTCGTGTGAGATGGGCGAAGGAGGGTGATTTAAATACAAAGTTCTTCCATTTGTGTGTTAACGGGAAGAGGCGATGAAATAATATAAATGCGCTTCAAATTAGGGAGAGATGTGTTGAAGAGATTGATGAGATTAAAGTAGTTGTGGTGTCTTATTTTGAAGATCATTTTAGTAGTAGAGGTTGGCTTCGACCTATTATTGATGTTAATGAGTTATCGAGAATTTCTGTCTTGCTCATGCTTTTTTAGAGGAGGAAGTGAGGAGGAGGATTTTGGAGTGTGAGGGGATAAAAGTCTAGGGCCTGATGTTTTTAATTTTGTGTTCATTAAGAAATTTTAAGGAGTGATCAAGGAAGAAGTGATGGGTATGTTTACTGAATTTTTTAGAAATGGGAAATTACCTAGGTCTTTGTTATTTTACTTTGTAGCACTTGTGTCAAAAATGTCTTATCTATAACAGATATCTGATTTTTGGCCTATCTTATTACTAGGTTGCCTTTATAAGATTATTTCTAAACTTTTGGCAAATAGGTTGAAAGGAGTTTTGGATTCAATAATTTCAGAACAACAATCAGCCTTTATCTCGATAAGAATCATGTTAGATAGTGTGCTTGTGGCTAATGAGACATGTGATTATGTGCGAAGGCATAAAAGAAGTGTTTTGTGTTAAAGCTTGATTATGAGAAGACTTATGATTCGGTGGAGTGGGGATATCTTTTGTTTATGTTACATAGCTTTGGATTTTCAGAAAAATGGGTTAATTGGATGGAAGCTTTTGTGTGTGGGGGTAGCCTATCAGCTTTGATTAATAGTTATCCTACATTAGAGGTTCATATTGAGCATGGCCTAAAACAGAGAGATCCTCTTGCCCCTTTTCTTTTTCTTGTGGTAGCGGAAGGGTTAGGAGTTCTTATGCAGAAGGCAGCGGTTTGTGGGTTATTTTCTGGTGTGAAGATTGGGGTAGAGGGATCGGATATTTCTTTGCTGCAATTTGTGGATAACACACTGATTATGGGAAAGACTTCGGTTCAGAACTTGTGAACCTTCAAAGCAGTATTGCATAGCTTTGAGTTAATGTCAAGTATGAAAATTAACTTTCATAAAAGTTGTGTATTGGGGATTAACACTGGCAATGACTTTGAAAACTTGGCTGCAAAGTTCCTACATTGTAAGATTGGTAGTTTCCTATTAAAGTGTCTTAGGTTACAGTTAGTTGTTAACCCGAGGAAGCCTAGTGCATGAAAGGATATGTTAGAGACTCTTAAAAAGAGGTTGGTGTCATGGAAGCATAGGTATTTATCTATTGGAGGCAGAGTGACTTTTGATTAATGTAGTTCTTAATTCTATGTCATTGCACTTGTTATCTTTTTTTTTAAGGTGCTAAAGTCAATGATAAAAAGGATTGTCACTATTCAACAGAAATTTTTTATGGAAGAGTATTAAGGATGAATCTAAAACCCTCTGGGTGAAATGAGAAACGATTTGTAGACCGTAGAAGAATAGTGACTTGGGCATTAGGAATGTGCAATAGTTTAACTGAGTGCTTCTTGGTAAATGATTGTGGTGATGTGTTAATTGTTCTAGTTCTTTGTGAGTGCGAGTGTTGGAAGCTAAGTATTGCAGATTAGCTTCTTCTATTTAGTATCCATCAGTCCACAACAGGTGTTCTTTATGGTGGCGTGATTTGTTGGAGGTTATTCATCAAGGGAATTCATGACTGAATAAGATGTTGGATAGGAGTGTGGGTGCAGGTTTGCACACTCTTTTTTGGAGAGATAAGTGGGTAGGCGAGGTGCAATTGTGTGAGATATTTCTGTGATTATTTGCAGTGGCGAGGAATGTTGAATCGTGTGTATTGGAGAATGATTTTCATGATGACACTAGGTGAGTTTGGGATATTAGTTAGCGAAGAAGACTCTTTCAACATGAGATCTCAAGCTTTAATATTTTGTTGGAGATTGTGGATGGTGTTTCTATTAAGGTACTACAAGAAGGTAAATGAGTATGGAGGACAAATTTTTTAGGTTGTTATTCAGTGCAATCTGCGTATTCATGACTATTTGAACTTTTTAGTGGTCCTAATATTGTAGATTAATGTACGGCGGATGCCGTGCAAAGGTTATGAAGAAGGAATGTGCTTTTTAAGTGTCTGGTATTTATTTGACAATTGTTGTTGAATGCACTTTCCTTGTAAAGGTTTGCTGATTGTTCATGGTGTTCAATTTGATGATATAACTTGTTGTTTCTGTCATGATTTGGAGAAACTTTCAACTCATTTGTTTTTAACATGTTCAGTTTCATCTCAAATCTGGTACTTTACTGCGTGTTGGCTTAGATTATCATTGATTTTGCCTTTAGATTTATCGACTCACTTGCTTTCTTGGATTGATGTTGATTGTAGTAAAAAAGAATAGATATATTTATTAATTGTTTGGTTAAGTAGTCTTTGTAGTTACATAAAAATAGAATTGTATTTTTCAATGGTGTTTTAGATGAAAGGGAAGTCCTAGACTCTATTATTATGAGGTCTTGAAAATGACTATCACTTATTAGTAAAGGAGAAAATATTTTGTTAGTTGATTGATATTTGAACTCACGAAATTGCATCTGTTTTAACTTTATATAAATATATTTTTGCTTTTTATTTTTTTGAATAAGTATTATGTTGTTTCTTTGTATATATGAGTTTTGAATTTCCTTTAAACTCTTTAATAATATATGTTTTACCTATAAAAAAAAAAGTATAAAAATACTTACTTTCTAAGTAAGAGTAATATTTTTTATTCTCCTACAATGTTATCATTTATCATTATTTTTTTTATGACAAATGTTAGTATGTATTTAAGGTATTAGTTAAAAAATAATATAATATACTATCGTGTAACTTTTAATATATTTTTAATCTTATTTTTTAATAATAATAATAATAATCTATTTATTATTATTTTAACTAATATCCTAAAAGTAATTATTAAGATAACTCATATTTTATAAGAAAATATTAAATAAAAATAAATTTAATATCTTTAAAGCACAATAAACTTGTGATATTTTGTCATAAGTGAGAAGCATTTTTATAATAATGTATTTACTTAAATTGTATATTTTTTTTTTCCATAATGAGATTATAGAAAATGTACAAAATATACATAATAAATAATTAGTAAGAATAAAAATAAAATAACTAAAAATAAGTTAATAATTTTTAATTGTAAACACTAAAATTTTATTTATTTTATAAAAAAGTAATTAAAAATTATAAGCTATATATTTTTAACAAATGCAAAATAAGATCGAATAATGTTTTTAGCAATTTTTATATAATATGAAATAATGTTTTCTAAATACTATCTTAATTAAATAAGTTAAAAATTAATCACTTATAATGGGAAGAAATTTGAATAATTTTTAACATAATTAATTTAATTGTTAATGAATTTCTTTTTTTTTTTTGTCATTCCTATTTACATTCATGTTTTTGTAATTAAAAAAATTCATATGTGACCCCCACAGCCTGAAAGCATCAAAGCTTCAACCCCATTCTTTAGAAAGTCGAAACCCTAATTTGGTTTGTTCTCTGCAGCATCGAAGGTACGCTTCTCTCTCCACAACCTCGCCTTTTCCCTATTGGAACAAACATAGAGAACAAACCATTTTCAGCTTTTCACTTTTAATCATTGACTCAAATTCTATTTTTTCCCCATTTTGTTGTTCACTCTTGTTCTGTAAACCTTTCCCTGATTTAACAGTGTAGTATTCGATTCTGTAACATTTGTTTTGTTCAGCAGAAGTAAAGGAATTTTTATTTTAATTACTATTTGTGCAAAACTTTTGGAGTTCATTAATTTGTTTATAAAAATGGATCCTTTTTTCCCTTCTTTTCTGTGGATGTATATTTAGAGAAACTATAGAGCTTTATGCACTTTGGTCTTGGTAATTTGCTATTGGATTTATTATGATATATATGACTCTAAGTAAAATGCATTCTTTTCTGCGTTTTATTATTGCACTTTTCTTGTTTAATACAATTATTTGGATTAATTGTTTTTAATGGACTCATGAAATTCAAATTGAAATTTATGCCTGATTATCTCAATCTGTTTAGTTGTACTACTATGTTAAGAAATGTGGAAATTGTCAAATATTTGGAAATTAAAAATAGTGTTATGTTTTGCATTCTTATTTCCATGCAACTAATAACTAAATGTGTTACTCTACCTATTTAAAGACACTGTTAGCTGATGCAACCCTGTTCTCTGAACTGGATTTCTAGTGTAGTATGTCTAGTTTCCATTTGAACAAAAAAAGAACTACATTTGATTATGTTAAGTGTTGAACAATTTAGGAGGCATTGAGAAGAGCTTATTGAGAGTTTATGAAAATATCTTATAGTTCCCATAAGTATTTTTCAGCTTATTTCAATATAGATTATCAGAATAAGCTCTTTTCAGCTTATTCCAAGAAGTTCTATGGTAAAATTTATAGGATAAGCACTCGTGTAAAAAAACTTATTGAAAGTGCTTAACTTAGCTGTATTTCCAAATGCACCCTTACTGGGTTTGTATTTTTTTACTAGTAATTCATTTACCTTTTGCTAGAGTAAAGAATGGGTGACAAGAAGAAAAAGGCTCAGATGTTTGTCAAACTAGTGTCTGCTGCTGGGACTGGATTCTTCTATGTTAAGAGGAAACCAAGGCAGTTTACAGAGAAGCTTGAGTTTCGAAAATATGATCCTAGAGTTAATCGCCATGTTCTGTTTACAGAGGCTAAAATGAAGTGATATGGTTCATTTTCATGGCTTCTTTCCATTGTAATTGGACCAATCTTGTGCTTCTTTTTGAAACTATTATCACATTTGCTTTCTCAGCCTATGTTCTTTTCTATTCAGGTTTGTATTTGTTTCTGCTGTGAATTTTATGCAATTGCTTGATTAATTATTTTCCTTTATCTTCAAAAATAGTATTTCAGAAAATTAATATATCTATATTATAAATAACATCACCTCAACAATGAATGCTATGCCTGAAAGCAATTTAACCATCCACCAGTACACTAAATAAGAGTATGAGAAGTTTGGCAGTTAGTCAGCTAAGTAGTTAGAGACATTGGAAACGTTTGAAAGATCGTATGAAAAAACTTATAGGCTTGATAGAATCTTTTGAGCTTCTTTCAACAAGCATCTTAGTATCTTATTAGGATAAGCTCTTGTCAACTTACTGTAAGAAGTTTTGTTGTCAAATTTATAGGATTCCCTCATGTAAAAAGAATTTATTAAATAAGTTGTTAATTAAGTTGCGTTTCTAAATGCATAATTTATTTTTCATCTCTAACTGGTGCTAACAACTTCTATGTATACCATAACCTGTCTACATAGGTGTTTGGATGAATAACAAGAACAGATTTTTGACATTACTCCTCTCTGTTTCTCTCATCCATCGTTTCCCCTCTTAGAATTATCTCTCTCTGTATATCACCTTCTCCCATTTTCTCTGAAAACAAACTCTAGTACCTGTCGATCACATTTTTTTAAAGCTTTTATTTCTTTTTTCTGTTGGAGCATTATAATTACTGCATTAACTATCCTTTTTTACATTTGTCCCGATGATATCAGCTCTTAAATAAACCGTTAATTGTATAATATTGGGGAAAAAAATCATGTTTTTAATGTATATATACAAAGATGTTCTTAATATATATGCTAAGTTACTAATAACACAATATCAGGTATAATTTTCTCACCGTTTTTATGGATCACAAATTATTTTCAAAAGCTCAGGTTTTTTTTTTTTTGGTCAGAAATTTTCTAAAGCTCAGATAATTTTGTGAACAGTAACCATAATTATTGGGCTTATGGTTATTGATGAGTGGGCTTACTTATGATGTCTGACCTAGAAATTTGAGCCCATGACGTATAAATTGGGTTCCTGGTATATAAATTAAGGGATCATTTTCAGTACTCATCTAATATTCCTTTAAAGAAAGACATCTTGCATGTATGATTATTTTCTTAATTTATTTTTAAAAAATGAAAAATAAAAAAATTATTAATTAAAGAAAAAGTAACTGTTAGAAAATATGTATTATAGAAAATCGAAAGTTTACTCTGAATCAGTGGACAGGATACCACCTTCACTCTTAACCTTGCATGAATGTTTAATATTGTATAATATGGACAGCTACATAGAGAGAATGTTGGAGTGAAAGAATTTGTTCTAAAACTTAAGTTATAACATAACCATATAATAGATTTTCTATATTGTAATAATTTAACTGATAATAACATTAAAAATACGAAGGATATAACCAAACTTACCAAAAAAAAGTCTTAAAAAGATAATACAATGTCACCGATCGTCTCAAGTATATTTTTGTCACAAAAAATGTCAAGGAAACAATATGAATAACAAAAATAAATAAATAAATAAAACTAGCCTTTATCTAAGTGTTTTGTAAGCGATATTTTCTGAAAGTCTTGCATGCACGATATTCCAAATTGCACACACATACGATAATCCCAAAGTAAGCCAACATTCACGAATCATGAACATACCATTGCCTCATGTCTAGGCGGGTTAATTGTTTTTCGGGTAAACATGAAAACTTTGTTTCCCTTTATCTGCGCCTTCTAATTTCATTTCTCACTAACATAATGCTGCGGCAATACGTGCCTAAAACTAAACATATATCATTTATAACATCATTATCAAAGATTCATAACCAGTTCCTTACTCTAGCTAGTACTACTAAAAGAAGAGCTAGGTACTCTGTGTTATATATTCCATATATTTAAAATGGAAAACGAAGTAAGTTTCATTTGCAAAAGAACTGTGGTGAGCACGAAGCCAGTAGAACCAGGAAAGTACTTCCCCTTATCAGTTTTGGATCGTTACATGGAGAATAACCACATTAGGATGGTTTACTATTACCAAACTTCAGGAGAAGTAAGACTTGGAGAAGTGACCAAGAAGTTGAGAGAGACTTTGTCAGAGATGCTTACCCATTTTCCCAAAGTGAGTGGACGGTTGATAAGGGATGAGAAAGGGCAATGGAAGATCAAATGCAATGATGCTGGGGTCAGAATGGTGGAGGCAAAAGCCAAAGGGAGTGTTGAGGGGTGGCTTAGATGTGTTGATAGGGAAAAGGAACTTCAGCTTGTGTATTGGGAGACCATGTTTCACAAACCTTATTATTGGTCTACTTTTTATGTCCAGGTTAGAATTTTATACTACTGAAAACAAAAACTTTTATTTTAATATATTATTAATCAATTAGAAAGTGTTTGTTAATTTAGCTTTTAAATTAATTATGGTAAAAATTCATATTAATGACACTCTTGCATTTCAATAAGTTCTTGGAAAAACTAAATGATTTGGATATGGTAAAAACTGGTTAAATGATCCAAGAGTTTCTAATAATATATGGAATAGCTAAATTCATTTTTTATGTTTTAAAATGTGGATCATTTGAACTTTGGTCTTAATTTCAGCTAACTGAATTTGAAGAAGGAGGATTAGCAATTGGCCTAAGCTGCGTTCATCTCTTGGCAGATTCCACTTGTGCAACCACATTCATGAAGGCCTGGGCTGACATTTCATTTGGCAACAAAATGAATACTCCTCCACTATTCATCCCTTTACCTCCTAGAAGACTAGGAAACATAAAGCCCAATCACTACCCCCATATGGAGTTAATACATTACTATAAATCCTTAATTGAGAAACCCATTTGTGCAAAGGAAGCAAAGTACACTACAATTTCCCTGAGTTTCTCAGACCACATGGTTCAGGCTTGCATGTCCATGGCCCAACCCAATTGTACATCAGGCCCAATAACACCCTTCGAGGCTTTAGCAGGGTTGTTTTGGGTCTCTTTGAGCAAAGTCAAGGGATTGAGAAATGGTCTTCTTGACATGTCCATATGTTTGGATGTAAGGAAAGTTTTGGGCTTAGATAATGGATTCTTTGGGAATTGCATGGTCTATAATAAGGTGCATTCAGAAGGGAATTTAGAATATAACCATTTCCCACAAGCTGTTAGGACCATAAAAGATGTAGTGGCTAAAATGGACTCTGAGGGGATTATGGATCTAATTGAGTGGTTAGAAAATAATGACATAAATTCACCTACAATGATAAACGGTCATGATCTGGTATGTGTTAACTTAGAGAATGTGGACCCTTATTTAGCTGTATTTCAAGATAGGTTGAAACCCATTCATGTTTCTTATTACATAGAACCAGTTTTGGGACAAGGACAGGTTTTGATTCTCTCTTCTCCAAAAGGGGAGGGTCCCTTAAGCAGGGTTGCTATGGTGACACTTAAGGAGGAGGAAGCGATTAAGCTTTGTGAAGATTATCTTATTTCACAATTCTCTCCCATTATCTTGATGAAATGTCAATGAATATTATTTGTGCTTAATTATATGTAATAGCTTGCATCTACTGAACTAGGTTTGTTTAAAATAATATTGCTGTCACCATCGATATAAGTTTTAATGACTGAACATTGTTGTCCACTAGTCTCTAATTATTGATACATAGCCTCCGTGATTAGTGTTACGCAAAAAATTTCAGTTTTATAAGTATAATCTATAATTAATATTAAACTGATTTAAAAATTTTAGATTGATGTTAAATTAATTTTTTGATTGATTGTATTTGTATAATTTAATGTTGTAAATTTACTTTTTAAAATTAAATTCTTTTTTATTTATTTAAATTTATATGTATAAAGATACTGTATAATGTTTTTACTTGTTAAATTTTCATGCTATATTAATTCACAAAATTTTATTTTGATGATTAGTTTTTTTATTAATTTTAATTCTTATAATTAAAATTAAATATTTAAAATAATATTTTAAAAATATGATTATTATATTAAAGATGTTAAAATATAATAAATATTTTTAAATTAATTTCTACTAATTATATTTATTTTTAATTTTTAATTTTTAAAATATTATAACATAATAATTTTATTATTATTTGTATTATTAATTTTTATTTTTAAAAATTTTAATTTAAACTTTTATCATAACTCTATTTATTAAAAATAAATTAAAAATGATAATAAATATTTTATAAAATTCTATAAAATATAATATAATTAATAAATATTACTAAAATCTTCTTAAATGTACTAATTTAATATAACGGTACGTAAAATAGATTAATTTTATCTTAAAAATTAAATTCACAAATATATTAAAAACTAATTTTAGCTTAAACATTAAATTTAAAATTAAATTTAAAACTAATCTTAACAAAATTTAAATTTAAAATTGATTTTAAACTAAATTTAAAATTTAAAATTACTTTTAAATTGATTAAAAATAAAATAAAATAGTTTAAAATTCAATGTGTATAATTAATTTATGTGATGAATAGATGATAAAAAGTAGAATATATGTAAATATTTATTAGTTTAATATAATATAAAAATAAGAAAATTTAATATAATAATTTGATAATAAAAAAATATTTATGTATATTTTTATCAAATTTAAAATCAATTTTAAATCAAATTTAAATTTTAAAAATAAATTTAAATTAATTTTAAAAAATTAAAATAGATTAGTTAAAAATTCAATTTATATAATTATATTTTAAATAAATCTAAATTAATTTTTTAAAAATTTAATTCGTACACACTTCTACTGATTACTATTTAGCCATTGTCATCTAGATGCATTGGCACTACTTTGTAATTTATTATATTTATATGGTATTTTTAATGCAAGTTGAGTATCATAATTTTATGTTAATAATTTTTAAAAACACGTGCCATTACATAATTTTATTGTATACTCTTAAACATATAGTTAATAAATTGTTTATATTATTACACATATTTTCAAAATTGACCATCCATTTATGTCGAAGTTTAAGTTGTTGACTATGAACACTTACAAACGATTGGGATGTGTGTTTTTTAATCGACACAACTTGTCACTTTTCTATCTATCTCATAAATACCTGTGAAAGACAAAGGACACGTTAGGTAGGAATCTTAGAAATGAGAATAGTTATTCTTCATCATGTAATTATCAATGGAGAATATTAAATTAAAATAAAACCAAACTGTTATGTATGTGTTCATAATCATGTGTTATGTCATTAAAATTATTTTTTAATGAAATAATTTTCCTATGTAAGAAAAAAATAATGAAAATAAATAAATGAAATTATTTTCATAAATTAAAATTAATTTATACTTTTTAAAAAATATGAGATGTACAAGCTATTAACAATCAGTGGGAATGTTAATGATCTTTTGCTTTAATTGGTCATTCCAAAATCAATCAAGGCATCGATAATAAGTAGAACAAAAAAAGTTATTAAATTATATAAAAGACAAGAATTAAAAAATCCAATTAAGACTCCCCATATTTATGGAATTGAGAATGAAATACGAAAATTAAATCACAAACTAAAATAAACATTCATGACATAAGAAAAAAGCATTCACGGTATCCATCAAATTTAAAAGGAATACAATGAAAAGGAATCAAATTAATTAACTACTTTTTGTAAACAAGTAAGAGATATATTCGATTTTTGATAATTTCTGAGCCTCACAAGTGCTTCAAAGAAAATCCTCATATGGTACCTCAAAATCTCATTCTGTCCTCTGTTCTCGATAAGAGCTGTCAAAAACCCCTTTCTAAATGCTTCTGCTCTGTGAAATGTCCTTTGTGTTAGTTTATTTTGTTCCCCGTTAAAGTTAGAAAATGGGCCCTTAAGTTTATTTTATTTATGAGAACACAAACGACACAACCGCGCGTGAGCTGAAAATGATGTGCAAGAAATGGTGGCCAGTGTTTCACGTAACTTATTTTTAATTTTTCTTGTTTTTTTTTTAAAATAAGTTAGATTAAATAAAATTGAAATTAACAACTTTTAAAAAAATAAAATTTCAAGTGAAGGAAACTTATAAAACATGGTTTCATAATTCTTTTGTTATAAATTTTAAGATTCAAAATACATCTTAACTTAAAAAAATTTTAAAATTAGATCGAGTTTATATTAATTTTTGCAAAAGTATTTGTAGGAAAAAATAATAAGAAGATAAAATAATTTTTTATGAGTTAAAATAAGTTTATACATTTTGTATTTTAAAAAAATTATTAAACAAATATAAGTTTATTTATCTATAAAAATTTAATTTATTTTTATTCTTATTTATAAAAATAGAGAATAAACTCTATTATTAGTATGACTTGAATTATATACATATTTATCTAATTGACACAACTCATAAGATAATGACAAAATTTTTGATAGACTTATTCTAATTGAGCATGGATTAAGAGAGGGGAGTCCACCCAAATAACATGAGATGATCTACATAGTTGGCAAAGATCATAAGACTCACATTTATTTCTAATCATCATCCTCAGCTTTAATCTTGCAAAAAATAAAATCTTTAGTAAAAGTAATAAGTGAAATCAAGAGATCAAGTGAGACAATTTATAGAAAGCAAATTAAAAGAAGATCGAAAAATACAAAAGACATTGTCAACAAGAAAGAAAGAAGAAGGATGAATAGTACTAATGTCTTTAAATTGGATTTGAGAAATATTAATCACGATGATAGAAAGTAAATATACAAAAGGAAAAAAGGTAAAGAAAGAGATTGCTTACCAATTATATAATCAATGGCCCCCAAATCAAGTTCCCAAGGACTAATTGAAGAGGAATGAAAGATGTCAGCAAAAGAATTACCATTGTATACACTAGAAACAAAGGAATCTAAAACTTAACATTTTTGATATCTCATTAGAAAATCATTAAAGTTAGAAGATAGTGCCTATGAAGGTGTGGACAAGTAGCATTAGAAGAAACTAGTAAAATATGTTAACCAACATACGCAATACAAGAACATTTATCAATGGTGTGACCAAGCTTGTGACAATAATCACATTTTGGACGAAGTTTTTTATATTTACGAAACTAGGAAAACCACCCCCTTACAAGATCAAACAAACAAGTTGATATAGATATAAGGTGTAAAGTCTTAAGAAGTGTTTTGGATGGAACACAAAAAAGAGTGAACCAAATACTATCCATAAAAGAATTATAGTGGAGCCCAAAATATGATCATGAATGTGAGAATACTCAATAAGCAAATCATATAGAGCAAGAATCATAGAGAATTGCTAGGCCTCAAGCTTTAAAGTTGGTGTAGAAGCTAGAGGAAGTAACTTATTAAAGTCACAAAGGAGATAAAAAAATTTACTTAAGTAATTAGCCATAGAGTCATCAATGCAATAAGCCTAATAATAATCAAGAGGTCATAAATCCTTTCGATTTTGAGTTTTCAAAAGGATTATTAATCCTTAACTTTTCGAGGAATCCTTCATCAGTGGTTGTGAATGATCGATTTTTCTCAATCTAGACGATGAGTAGTATTGTTGCATAGGGTTTTCGCTTGTGTCCAAACACCTTCATAAGTCTCATAAGCATGAAAAGTGGAACACAACAATGAATACAATGTGAATTTATTGATGCAACACAGTTAAGCATCTACTTTTTTCTATTTGAGATGATTGGTAAGGAGCGAATCCACCCTATTCTTGACACAAATCCAAGTGGATCGATCATCAACATATCAAGGCTCTATTTTTGGAAATATTCTAATTGATTCTTTTTGTAGTAATTTGTTGTTGTCAAACATATATATATATATATATATATATATATATATATATATATATATATATATATGAGTAGTTTCTATCTTTAGATAACTATTGCCTTTGTTACGAGATTGCAGCAGATTTGTTTCTCTTTTTGATAGGTAACCAAAACATGTATATATTTCTACCTTTGGTATTCAATAAGATCATATTTTTGCCCACAAAGTTTAGCATGGTATTAGAGCTATCCAGGCTCTGATAGACATCGCGTATAGACAAATCTCTGCTGTTCAATGGCAAGCGCTGGTGAGATACCCCAAACAGAGGAGACTGCAAAAAATCAAGGGGATGGTAGCAAGAAAGGTCCATCACCCTATGAGTTGAGTGCAAGTGATAATTCTAGAAATGTAATCACACAAGTGCAATTGCGTGGTGAGAACTATGACAAATGGGCACGAGCTGTGAAGGTCTCGCTACGTGCTTGACGAAAGTGGGAATTTCTTAATGGAACCCACAAGCAGGCAGATGAAGATGCAGCAGAGGTGGAGGATTGGTGGATGGTTCAATCCATGCTTGTGTCCTGGATATTGAACATCATTGAGCCAAGCCTGCGCTCCACCATAACATATGTCAAAAATGCGAAGGACCTTTGGGAAGACATTAAGGAGCATTTTTCTATGGTGAATGGACTGCGAATTCAGCAGCTCAAGGCTGAATTGGCAGAATGCAAGCAGCAAGGAACAACCATGGTTGCATACTATG